TGCAGACCATGGTGAAGCGGGTTGTCCCCCTGCAGCCCATGGAGGGGGTGTAGATGTCCGCCCTGGGGCAGAGGACCCCACGCCGTGTGGATGTATGCCTGAAGGGGGCTGTAGCCCGTGGGAAGCCCGCATCGAAGCAGGTTGCTGCTGGAACCTGTAGCCTGTGGAGGAGTGAATGCCCACACTGGAGCAGGTTGGCTGGTGGGACTTTTGTGATGCTGCGAGGCATTCACACTGGAGCAGTTTCCCCTGAAGGACTGCACCTCAGACTCACGAGGGGTGAGTTGCCCCTCGTGAGGTGTCTCACGTTGGGCAGTTTGTGATGAATTGCCCTTCGTGGGACCACTCATGCCGGAGAAGAGAGCGTGAAGCTTGTCTCGCGTGAGAGGGACCCCACAATGGCCCTGGGGAAGAGTAAAGTCCTCCTCCAGAGTGAAGAAGCAGTGGAACCAACGTCAGATGAACTGACCGTAAACCCCATTCCCTGTCCCCATGTGCTGCTCGAGGGGAAGAGGTGGAGAAACTGAGATTGATGTTAATCCCAGGAAGAAGGGAGGGATGGGGGGAAGGTGTTTTGCTTTTGAGATCTGTTTGCTTTTTCTTATTTCTCACTACTCCTCTCTGATTTGTTCTCTTAATAAATGTTATTAATTTCCCCAAAATTGAGTCTGTTTTGCCCAGGACAGTAAATGAAAGTGATCTCCCTGTCCTTAACGCAAACCTTGAGCCCTTTGAAATATTTTCTCCCCCTGTCTAGCGGAGAAGGGAGACTGAGAGACTGACTGTGTGGGCACCTGGCTGCTAGCCAGGATCAAACCACGACATGCACCAGAGCTAGATACCTCATCCAGCCTGGAAACTAGTACTTCGAGCCACGGAATCATATGCTCTGTGAGCACCATGGACAGCGACTGCTCGCTGGGAAATTCAACTTCATACTACCCACACCTTGGTAGTCAATATACTAAACTGTTTTATTAACCGGTGTCCCGCTAGGACTAGGTTAGACTAAACTAGTCATTTTGTTGAGATCGAGTGAGGTTCAGCTCACATTTCATGATGAATTCAACGATGTTATGGTTTTATTAGTTCGTATGACTTTTTTTACAACAGTTGTTTGGAATGACTGTTGTGTGACTGGTTTCTGTTCTGTTGAAATAATTTTCCTAATGTTGAACTGCCATAGCAATTAAGTTTAAATGTACTGGAATATGCTTGTTTGTGGTTTCATTCTGGAGATGTTGGTCTTAATAGTTGTCACTTCCTCCAGAACAGAAAAATCTGTAGGTATTTGTAGCCAATCATCTTTTGCTGTTATTACATAGATAGAAGTATCTGGATAGTTTACATGTAGAAGTGCATGTAACAATGGTCTCTAAAACTCACCTAATCAGTCAGCTTGCCTGAGACTGCACTACTAGACTTCAGTTATTTCAACAAGAGCAAGTTGTTCATTCACTTGTGTCTTCTAGTCATACCCAAGCATTCTAAAGGCCAGGCTTTTTCATCTCAAACATGACCAAACAAAGATCATGGTGCATCTTGCTGGTATGCCTTTCCTATTGCATATCTTCAGGCAGGCAGCATCCTTCAACTCTTCCGGCTAGTGCAAGACAGCTGTAAAGCAACAGCATGAGACTGTGCTTTGATGTTTGTTAAAAATTGTAAATATTCTGAGTTATGTCCAGATGCGAAGAAACTGAAGGAAGACTTCAGCCTACTATTTATGCCAAGCATATGGAGATGTGTATAAGCTGGTTTATGTAGGCTTCATTATTGTCTTTTGAACTTAAGGTGTAGAGATTTCATCTTCATTTTCACAAACATGCTTACTTAAGGTAAAGATAACAGTTTCAGAGCAGCTACACTTCAGACCACTTTCACTCTCTTAAGTCTTCAAGAGTTCTGTTGATACAGAACTAAGAAAGAATGAACTGGGCAAAGATCACTAAAGTTGCTTTAAAAACATCTGCAGTTTAAAATAGCACCAGGCTTGCTGTGTTAGGGAAACTTTTCACAGTTATATTCAGGCTCCTTTTCTGGAAGTGATTGCATATAGAGAATTCAGTAGGTTTTGCATGCGTTTGAATGTATAAACTTTGTTTAATTTTTAAAATGGTGCAAAAATATAATTTAGGCCAATGGAGACTATTTTTGTGCTGTTTCCTAAGTAAAGGAAATTCAAGATGCATTTCTAGATCAGCACCAGTTCTTGGATGCTGACATGATTATGAACCTTTCTCAGAATAAATGTGGTTTATATCCAAAACTTCTTGGAATTTTGGATTTGTTCTGAATCAGAAGTTGGACTCATGGAATGGTAGTATTATGAAGCATTCTAATGTTACAGTTGTATTTGATGCAAATAATTTGTTATATTGTTTAACAATTTTATCTCATCTGATTTGCTTTGTTCGTTTCATTGAAATTGGCCTTGTTACTTCAATAATTATTCTCTAACAGGAGATTTCATCTGGGATATATCATTTCCTAGGGCAAGGAGTAGAATCCTGCTCAAAATCATTGAACCAGGACTGTTCATAAACACGACAGGTCCTCTTAGCATCATTTCCAAAAGACTTAATTTCCTGTTTCCCAGGCTGCAGGTGATGGTTTCTAGTTCTTTATGGGTTTTCTTTGATGAAAGCTTCATTATTTGTAGTTCTGCTTTTCTCAGAAATGTCCTATATATCCTGTCAGAAAATAATACAAATTCTTAATCAGAGCGATTTGTACTTAAAGGGAAATAAAAGTCTACCTACTTGCGCTAAATCTTAAAGCGTGTTGGATGTTTCTTTCCATTCAAATGGTGCAGTTGTATTTAACAGAACTCATAATCATTTCAGGAAGCCAAGATATTTGCTTAACAAATTCTAAGAAGTTGGGTACCTGCTGGTTAGCAGAGAATCCTAGGAGAAGGATACTTGTCATCGTGTCGTCACTTTTTTTAAACCTGAAAAAAGAATTGGGCATTGACTTCTTAAAAACCTGTTCGTGTGGTTTGAATATTTTGTGAAGAAAGTTGTGTTTCTGGAATCTGCATAGGTAATTTTCAGCTGTTTGCTTTGAGCTGTAGTTCTGAAATTTACTGAAATGGTTGTTGGTGTCTAAGAAAGCATTGCTAACAAGTAGATTGAGAAAATAGTACTCCCTGCATTGCCAGATAATACTGTGACTAAGAGGTGTTAGTACTAGATTGAAGAGGAGGAGCAGGACCCAGACCAAATGGGTAAATGAAAAAACATTGTTTTACTAGTGTGTCTTATTTCTACAGTATGTTCAATGGAATCTGCAAATAGGAAAGTCTGTTTTCTTACAGCCTAAGCTGCTTATATGGTGACAGATTTAGAAGAAATATATTTTGAAATGTAACATTGCTGTCTATTCCTGTTGTTTTAAGTGAATAAATTGATGCAACAATAGAATATTTACCTCTTTGTTTTATGAAACAGAGCAAAGCTGCAGCCTCACAAAATCACAAAATTCCGTGATAAATATTCTACTGAAATTGCACATTTTTTTCCTTGTTTTTGGTGTGTTCTTTTTAATCTTGTTTCCAAGAATATCTGTGCAGAGGTGATGAGTTTTTGGTGCCAGTGTGTCAGGTAAAAGAGGACATTTATATGTAAATTAAAGTTGATAAACATTTTACATTATCTTTTCATACCAGAGACTTGGCTCTTCAATTCCTGAGGCTCAAACAGTTCCCTCTTGTACAGCTTTTGAAATTGACTGTTTGAATAACTTCATTACATTGTACTTTGCTGAAGCTTTCTAGAACTACATGATCCATTATAATTGTTTTTTCCTCCCTTCCTCTTATCTTTTTTCTCTTCTGTACAGGTGATTTCTATTCACTCCTTTCCAAGCTGCTAGGAGAAAGGGAAGATGTTGTGTATGTGCATAAGCATAACCCTACAGAAAAGGCAGAATCAGATCTTGTAGCTGAGATTGCTAACGTAGTCCAAAAGAAGGATCTTGCCAGAGAGATCAAAAATCATGATGAGAGGGACAATACTATTCTTGTCAGAGACAGAATTCACAAATTTCACAGACTAGAGTCTACCTTGAGGCCACCAGAGAGCAGACATTTCTCTTTACAACAGCCTAAACATGGTGAGGGAAGCTGGGAAAAAGAACATACAGGAGGTGGGTTAGGGGTTAATTTTGTACAATGAAATGCGATGTAAGAGCTGTGATCCACATTAGCAAAATCTGAAGGGAATATCAGTTCATGCTTGGAAGTATTTTATGTGACAGTTTTCCTAATTATGGAAAAGTTTTTCCTCTATTACCTCTATTTTAGAGGTATTTCAGTGGGATTCTTTACCCCTCCATATGGGAAAAAGTTATAAACCACTGGCAAAACACAGATACTGATTTGTAACATAGAGTATTCTTTCTGCTCTCAAGACTCAATGATTTGATATCAACTGAGCTAAAACAATGTAAACCCAGGATATAGTAGTCATGGGAAGTGAAGAATTTTCTTAATACAAGTAACTACTATAAAGTGGTCACTGGAATAATCAATGAATGGTATGAGTTTTCTGATTACCTTGGCTTGTCAGATACAGGGTTTTATAAAATTTAGTGCTGTATTTCTGTTGGACATTGTTTCATTCAGAAAGAGTGATAGCTAATCCTGAAAAATTCTTGAGAAGTAAATTTTCTGCGTATTTGTTTCAAATTGAGCTTGGCTATCCAAATATTTTTGGACAGGCTCTTTGATGGTACTAGGATTGTAATTCATTCCCTTCAGGTTTCTATGGCAGCAGAAACCATGGAAGCATTGCGTTTGTTTTATTTGCATTTTGGTCTCTGTGATATTGATTGTGCTTAGTCTTACTTGCTAATGTGGAAAGCCAGATAATGCAGCATGTGGCGAGTATCTCATGACAGAAACTGATATGCATGCATGAAAGTCATCTGTATGCATAAGCTGTAGCAGCACATGCTTGCTTTTGTGTTGCAACCGGCCAGCTTGATGTTTCCAAGTACTGTTGTAAACAAATATAAATCATTTGCCATCCATTTGATTTTTATTTCAGTTCAAAATGTTAAGATGTATTGTGTCTGCTTATGTGATAGTCTGTTACAGTGTTCAAATTCAGAAAACCAAAGATGAGGACTTTCTAGTGTTATGCTAGTCAATCAAATGAGAGCCTGTTAACTTATTGGCATAGGGGCAAAAAAACAGGTGGGATGTTACTATGTGCCTGACATAAGTGTAAATCATAAATAATTCCTTAAGTGGCACTGGAATTAAGTGCTTGGAAGAGTAATGTTTGTAGCATTTCTGCAAAACCTGTTTGTTCAGATTAGACTAATAGCATGTAGTGTATAGAAGATAAAATAAGAAATTTTCCTTCTGTTTTTACTGATGCAGAGGAGTGAACTGATTAAATGACTTAGCACACCATATAGAATGAATTCTAACTACAGAAAGCATTTGCTCAGCTTTATTAGTATCTGTAGATTCATTGTGGTTGATTTTTTTCGTGGAGAACTAATTAATAAATGGACTTTCAAAAGATGCAATTTTGAGTTACAGCAAAAAGGCATACTGAAATTATCTTAATTAGCATAAATTTAAAAAAAATCGTGATACTTCTAACTGCAGAAATTCTGAACTGCAGAAGCTGTCAGCACTAACTTTTGGCAAAGGAATTTTTGTAACAATAAAATATTTAAGCACAGGTTTAATTTCTGTTTGGGGAAGCATGTACTTATTAGAAGAATAAAAGTTTCCATTATACAGTTTTCCTCTTCAGAGGAGGAAGTGGAGCATAAAGTGTTTTAACTTGTCTTGATTTAATAAAAAAAAAAAGCACCCTTCATAAATTTCTTTACTATACTGAATTAAAAAAAACACCTCAATATTTCTTAGAACAAAACAAATTCACTTACGAAACTGTTCAAAAATCACTAGAATTAAAATAGTTTCCTATTTTTAGTCTCACAAGTATTCCAATTTTTAACATGTAACTGGCCTGAAATAACAACTGACCGATATGTTGAGTAAGGTTGTTACAAGTGTTATGTTTGTAACTATTTACTAGTGCTCTTCTTGTACTTTTGTTATCTTGTTACCGTGAGACTGGTCACTAATCAGTCAGGTTGTTAAACATCACTGCAGCCTATACAATTATGCCTCTTAATTGAGGCAAACTATAATTTTCTAGATGTTAAAACTCCTTTGTGCAGTGCTTACGTATATTTGTCAAGATTTAAGTGACTGCTTTGATGGCAGGGAATAAATGCAACATGACTAAAATTTGTAATGTTAAAAGCTTTAAGGAATTTCTAGACAGTAAATTGCAATTTTGCCAATAAATAGGGCTTTATTCTTTCACTTGTAGAGAGATTAGAGCGTGATTTGTGTGTTCTAATTCTAGGTAATTCTTTATTGTTTTACTGATGAAAAGAATTACTCTAAATATCTGATACTCTAGAAATCTCAACAACATAACTAGTCTGTTTGTATTTTGTAAAGTAATTGTAAATTATTTTAATGGAGAAAAGTAATTTACTTCAGATTCAAAACTGTTACATGGACCACTGGTTATGTCGGGAATTAATAATCAGATAAATGAAGTCTACATTTAGTGAATTTTTGTAAAAAGATAGTTGTCTTAAGATAAACCTGTATCGAAGGACTTCTAGTATGAGGCATTCAAAGGGAAAAGAAAAAATAAAATAATAAACCGATAGTGTGAGGAAACCTTAAGGCTGTAGTTCTTCTGATTAGATCACTAGATTGTATTTCACTGTACATTTGTTTGTGCCTTTTGAGAGACTGAATATTACGGAGGTAAAAGTATAGGCTATGTTTAGCCTTTTAATTTTTCTAGTGTTTTTTGGGAAAAGGCAGAGGCTAAGGGGCACTGTAACATTAAAGATACATAAGTCTTCTGCAGGTTAACTTGGACTGACAATGGGGTGTGCAAGTGAGGAAGCAGAACCTGGATTTCCATCCTTTTATTCCTTTCAAAATCCTCATGTCCATGGATATACCTGGTACTGCACCTGCTGTCACCAACTGAACTGTACAGGAATTTGAATATATATAATTTTTTTCTTAATTTTATGTTAGTTTGAAAGATTTGTTCAGTTAAAATTGCTACAGAGTAGAATTTCTTGGTTTAGAAGTTTCTGATTACTGTCAGATTCACTGCAGCTGCTAATTGCCTTAGATTTTTCTTAGGTTTGTGTTTCCTTAAAGAGTTTTTCTGTCACGTGCTCTAGCTGTGGTATCTAAAACTACAGAGGTAAAACTTTTCCTACTGGAAGATTTTAAGCAGTGATTTTCAGAGTCACAAATATGATTAAGGAAGGGGGAACATCTCCCATATGAGGAAAAGCTGAAGGAGCTGGGTCTCTTCAACCTGGAGGAGACTGAGGGGTGACCACGTTAAGGTTTATAGATATCTCAAGGGTGAGTGTCAGGAGAATGGAGCCAGGCTCAGTGATGTCCAGTCATAGGACAAGGGGCAGTGGGTACAAGCTGGAGCACAGGAGGTTCCACAAAAATATTAGGAAAAACTTTTTCCCTGTGAGGGTGACAGAGCACTGGCACAGGCTGCCCAGGGAGGTTGTGGAGTCTCCTTCTCTGGAGACATTCAAACCCACCTGGACACGTTCTTGTGTGACCTACTGTAGGTGATCCTGCTCTGGCAGGGGGCTGGACTAGATGATCTTTTGAGGTCCCTTCCAAACCCGACCATTCTGTAATTCTGTGTGATTTTTCTCTTTTGTATGTGTAGAAAATGCTTTTCCCGCTACCCTATCCTTGCTGTTACTCCTCAGACTACGTCTCTTCCAAGTGAAATGGAAGTGAGGGTATGCCTATCAGAACAGCTATGTTGCACAGGTGACCTGAAGATTTTGAGCATAGTTTCCCTTTTCATAGTGACTTTCATTAGGAAATTGCCTCCAGCTGAACCCTCTCAAACTCCGTGGGTGCTGGATGTGAAATTGTGTAATAGTCCTTTTTTCAAAGCGCTGATGCCCTGGCATGTGAATGGGTGTATGTGTTTCCCCTCCCTAGATGGTACCCCAGGGGCTGGATTTCAGGATCACACCAAAACATACAAACTTTGGATGACCTGAAAGGTGCAAAGCACAGCATGATGCTGTCAGACACATTGAATACTAGTGAAACAGCTCCAGCTCCACGTAGCTGCAAAGCAGTTGCTTTCTGTTCACCTTCAGTTTGGCCATACATACAAGCACATAAAGTCTGCGCACTGGAAATACCTGAGTTATGCTGAACAAACTAATTTCTGAAAGGAAGGAGTGATGTTTTTCCTGACATTTAGAAGGCATTTTAGGATTTGTTGTTTGTTTTTTTTCTTTTCTCAGAATTAGTGAAATTCGTCTTGCAATTACATTTTTTAATGTGGGGAAAATGGTTCAATTGTCTCTCAATAGTGCCCGAGCAGCCCTCTTCCAAAGAGCATTTAAGCAGTCTCTTTGTGAGAAATTGATGCATGAAGCCAGCGCTCTGCAAATTTTTCAGAATTTGGACAGTTAATGCTTTTAAGCAGAGTAAGTCTATTTTTGTATAAAACAGAGATTGAAGTAAACATCTTTTTATATTTTTAACTCTATGACTTGAAACTAAATTTTTCGTCCTTAATTGAGGAGTTTTACAATTCAAGACAAATGCAAGAAGTATCTGACTTTTTAGTAGAGGTTCACTTGCCAAATCCAGTGCTGTTCATTTAGTGTGAAAATCAGATTTTTGTTATTCAAAAAATATCCAATATTTTTTCTTAAAACCAGTGTTTTGTGATCTTAAAGTGACAGATACTCTACCCTTTTTCATCTTTTTCATCAGATTTAAAGATCTATTTCCTCTTCCTGCCTATAATAATTGGGTTAGGATATGACTGCTATCTGAAAGTAATGCATGTGTTAACTGTAAGAAATGTCTTAGGCAGACTTCACAGAATTACTTTTTTATTTGCTTCTCATTGCTGTTTTCCTTCCTTGTCTGTATTTTCTTCCTTGATGTTCAAAGCTTTTCTGAAAAAAAAGGTCATGAATCATCCACTTCTGATATGGAGTTGGTTTGGTGATTCATAGTAATTGTAACAGACTTTTTGATAAAACACTGATACGTTAACATTTAAATTGACCTGATGGGTTTGGATAATGGTTACATATTTCTGTAATCTTTCAATGTAGAAAGTATTCACAGAGCTGCTAAAACTTCTAAGTTCTGTGTGCCTGTATCTTTATAAAATGGAGAAAATACTGGAGTCAAAAGCAGTTTTGACATTTCTGTCATCCTATGTGTAGCAGGATGCCAGTGCTTGTGCATGCTGTACTATAATAAAAATGTGCTTGGAGTTAAATTGCTATGCATTAGTGGAAATACTGCATGTAAGAAAATGTCCACGTAATTCCAAACAGGCTGTACTAAATGCCAGTTAACCATGTTGTTTTACTAAATATACTACCTGAATGTTTGTCTTCTGTTTATTTGTTTCTTTGGTCAGATTTCCACATAGAAGAGGCTGTGGAATGGCCTGGGTTAGTCCTCAAACTAGGCCAGGTTTCTGGTTTGGCTCTGGACTCTGAAAATAACCTGGTTATCTTCCACAGAGGTGATCATGTTTGGGATGAAAAGTAAGTAGAAAGTCAAACTGCTGTGTGCTGTTTGTGTATCTCCTCAACAAGAGAAAAGACAGACTGCAGATCCTTTTCCATTTAAAATTCGGTTCTTTGGCCGGTGACTTTGAGAGACTGAGAATGGAAGTGGTGACTCACAGTTCAAGGTGATGGAGATACTAGGTCTTTAGACAGTAAGAACGTGTCTCCAGAGCAAAAAGAACATAGCACAGTAGTTCCTTAAACAGCATGACCGTGTTAGCATGATAGTCACTGAGCTTAATTATCCCTGCTTCTCCATGTTTTAGTAGATTTAAGACATGTAAAGCTAGTTCCAGTGTATCTTAATTCCTTCCAGTGTTTATGTCCACTGAACAAATCTGGATTTTTACACGGCACTCTCTCAAAATAGGCTTTGTTCTACTCATTTGATAAAATTTACTACGTTTAATGTCACTCAAAACAACAACAAAAAAGTCTAAACTCTAGAACGGCTATTTTTCTAGTATTTGTAAAGTAACATACTCAAAGGCACGTTATTTTAAGAGCAGAACATTCCACATAGAGTATAGTGTTCTCATCTGTACAGTGCTCTTATATCTTTGAGCTTTAAAATAATATGTCTAACTGGTTAGGTGAACACTGTGGAAAAAATACCATTAAATCATAACAGAGCGCTGGGAAGTAATGGAATTAGTCTTTAACAGAAAGTTTTGTAGTTCCCTTTTTAAAAGTACTTTTAAAATCTTTTTAAGTAACTGAAAGACTAAACAGTAGGGTTTTTCTCGGTTCTTGATTATTAATTTTAAGATAATATAGTTTCTGAACATTGGAGGGGGCAGCTTTCTCAACCTTTTTGTAACAAATAATGCTTAGAATACTCTTTTATGAAGGAAAGTAAGTTCTTTGGGCTTTTAGCTAAATAACAGAATCCAGCAGATAAAGCAATCATTTATGTCTCCTACATTATATCCGTGATCTCTCCAGGTCAAGTGTATATAAATATAGGCTATAAAATTTGAAATGATGACGCATGCCGCAGTTTGTATTACTCAAGCTTCAAGTAAAAGCTGGTATTGATTTGTTTTCTTTCATCCTCCTACGGGTGAACATAAGTGCTGTTCTTTGTATCATTGAGGAAAGAATTGAAAAAGTACTTGAAAGCAGGCTGGCAGTTTTAATAACTTTTTACTTCTAAAATGTGCATTTTGAGTTTCTGGTAACTGAGGTTACCCACAACCCAGAGCACAGAACTGGAGTTTGAGACAAAGCAGTATTTGGAAAGCCTGCAGATTTTAAACAAAACCAAAAATAGCAAGTGAGCATAATGAATCAATCATGCTAAGAGACAGATTGAACTTCAGTATTCCTTATAGTGTGGGTGCAGAAGAAGATGAGGGCTGTGGTCTGGAGTCTGGAAATCCATGTACCTTCCAGCTGTGCTCAGTAACACTACAGGTTGGCTCAACTCAGCCCTGTCCCTGACAGCAGCCATTGTTCATATTCGGAGTTTTTCTAGCCTATGATTATCACACTTGCCAGGAAAATGCTTTATTTTATATTTAGTATTAGATTGTTAATCTGTACATCAGTACTGTCTGGGAGCTGGACATATTCACCGTCATGTGAGGATTGAAATTGGAAGAAGGTATAACTGCTTGGCCTTGTAAATGTGATTGTCAGCATTCAGGCATAGAATCATTAAGGTTGGAAAAGACCACTGAGGTCTTCAAGTCCAACCATCAGCCCAACACCACCATGACCACTAAACCATGTCCTAAAGTGCCACATCTACATGTTTTTCAAACAGCTTCCGGGATAGTCACTCTACCTCTTCCCTGAGCAGCCTGTTCCAATGCCTCACCACTCTTTGAGTGAGGAAATCTTTCCTAATATCCAGTCTAAACCTCCCGTGGTGCAACTTGAGGCCATTTTCTCTCATCCTATCACTAGTTACTTGAGAAAAGCGACCAACACCCAGCTCACTACAACCTCCTTTCAGGTAGTTGTGGAGGGCGATAAGGTCTCCTCTCAGCCTCCTCTTCTCCAGGATAAACAATCCCAGTTCCTTGAGCCATTCCTCCTAAGGCATGTTCTCCAGACACTTTGCCAGCTTCGTGGCCCTTCTTTGGACATGCTCCAGCAAGTTGATGTCCCTTTTGTAGTGAGGGGCCCGGAACTGCACACAGTATCCTGAGTGCAGCCTAACCAGTGCCAAGTACAGGGGCACGATTACTTCCCTGCTCCTGCTGGGCACACTATTTTTGATACAGGCCAGGACGCTGGCCACCTTGGCCACCTGGGCACACTGCTGGCTCCTGTCCAGGGCCCTCTCTGCCTGGCAGCTCTCCAGCCACTCCTCCCCAAGCCTGTAGCGCTGCTGGGGGTTGTTGTGACCCAAGTGCAGGAGCTGACACTGGACCTTTTTGAAGCTCATACAGTTGACCTTGGCCCATCAATCCAACCTGACCATATCCCTCTGCAGAGCCTTCCTACTCTCCAGCAGATTAACACTCTCACTCAGTTTGGTTTCATCTATGAATTTACTGAGGGTGCAGTCAATCCCCTCATTCAGATCATCCATAAAGATGCTAAACAAAACTGGCCCCAATACTGAGTCCTGGGGGACACCACTTGTGATCAGCCACCAGCTGGATTTTGCTGCATTCACTACCACTCTCTGGGCTCAGCCATCCAGCCAGTTTTTAACCCAGCAAAGAGTACACCTGTCTAAGCCATGAGCCACCAGCTTCTCTAGCAGAATGCTCTGGGAGATGGTGTCAAAGGCTTTACTAAAGTCCAGGTGGACAATGTCCACAGCCTTTCCCTCATCCACTAGGTGGGTAGGACCAAGAAGTAGGATAAGCTGCTGTTAACTGAAGATAGTTATGGGCCTTCTGTAAAGACAGTCACACATGAAATTCTAGTTCATTTCAGAGGGGTTTTATTCACAAGTTGTTCAGGTTTTGTTGTGGGATTTTTTTTTCCTTGTGGAGCACAATTATTCAATATATAGGAAAGCTAGTGTTAGTAGGAACTCTTGAATAAGAAAGGCTAAAACTTCTGTAGGCCTGTTTATGTATTATGACTTGAACAGTGTATTTGGAAAACATGCCTGTGGTTAAGCTGCTGCTCCATATCTTTTGGCATAGAGAAGAGGCACACAGACATGTGCTCAGCCATTTAGCCTTCTCTTTTTATTTTTGGGTACATCAGAGGCATATGAGATAGCTGGGGGACCTTTTTGTGGGTTGTACTGAGAGGAAGGAGCATATGTGTTCTCATTTTTCAGTAATAAAGATTTAAAAAATGTGTATTTGAAAGGGATTTATCATGACTGTTGTATGGGGGAGAGATAAGTTATCAGAATTCTAAGTTAATTATTATCATAAGCTGCAAATACACAGTTGAGTATAATATTCCTTACCAAATCATAAATGTGATGAATCAATCAAGCCTGAAAGCCCAGAATTTATCTCCTCTGTACCAATGCTTTCCCAGCATAGGATGGAAACAAATTAAACAGAAATTATCTATGCTCTTAGGCCATGCACAAATGTTTCCAATGCATTATTAATATATGCCATAAAAGCTGGCCTCTCACTCAACTAAATATAGCTGGATGAATGTTCTGTGTTGTTTCATAAGGCACCTTCAGTCTGCATTGGAACACAAAAGCCGTTATGAAATGACAAGCCCTATAGTACCGGAGCAGTGTTTCAGTGGCTGTAGCATTCCTTCCATGCATGATTTTTTTTAAAAAAAATTGTTTGAAGTAAGTTATGTTGTTCTCCCACATATTCTCCTCAGATTCAGAACAGTCTTTGCTATGTGGAGCGTATGCTGTTCTGAATGAAAAAAAATAGAACTATTCAGCAGGCTAAGCAGTGAATCATTTGGAAGTTATTTTGCATTTTGTGTTGACAAATTTATATTATTCACACAATTTATAAAAGACGTAATGAAGAATAGAAACTACATTCTTGTTACTGCATTCTTAACAAGCTTGGCAAGTTAATGTGGGCTGAACACAGTTCTACCAATATCCAGTGATGGATATTGATCAAGAATAGTGCTCAGGGTTGTGCCTTCAGAGGTTGTGAGATCTAGTGGTTTGTCTAAATTTAATGTCTAGCCCACAAGAAGAACATTAGATGTAGCAATAAATTGTTTATATTGGTGTGAGGTGGACAGCTGAAAAGCAGAAAAATAGCTGTAGAATTACTTTGGGGTTAGAAATTAGTAGTGGCACTATTTTTGTTGTCTTTGATAGCAAATTGCAGAAGCTGTTAGAAAACCATGCTGCAGTGTAATATAATATATAATAGTAAGGTGTTGAGTTATTTTGTTCGGCTGGTCTTGGTCTTTCTTCTTTTAAGCTAGCAGTAGTCAGCGTCATTTGTGTACTTATCAGTTGAAACAAAGGAACATTGATCTCAAATGCTGGGAAGGGAAGAGTGACTGTGATTCTGTAGCATGCCAGCCTTCCTCCTAGAAAAGGAAATTTGTCATGAAGGAGATGCATGGAAGATCACTCCCATAAATTCATCAATAGGCTGTCTTTGCCTAAAATACCATACAGTCTCTAATTTACCCTGAAAGCACTCAGTTCCCAGGAGAGGTGTGTCGTTGTTAGCAGGGAATACTCCTAACAGAAATCTGGGCAGCACTGTTACTAAGAAACAAAATCATAATAAGGGAAGGCATTTTTTTTTAAGTTGTCCAGATAGCCAATACAATCTTTCTGTGGATTGTTTCATACAATGCCTACCACTGCGAAGATTTTCTTTTGTGATTAGCTGTGCTGATTCATAACATTAATAATACTAGTTCAGTCTGCCCGGTGTTGATTGTCCAGTTGTGGTCATCCATACCTAGAGCAAGTCCTCAAAAGTACTAGACTGTTTTTTTAAACAAAACCAGGAGAACTTGGTACAGAAGATTACTGTCAGTAACGGTAAAGAGTAAAACACCTGCTAATAAGCAGATAAACATCAGTAGGCCGTTGTGTGCCAGTACCATTTAAGTCTTCCTGTAGCCTCATGGCAGTGTTTAGCAGGGCTTCGGTATTAGTAGCTATTGCCTTGTGCTTAACCATTCATAGTGACAAGGATTTACTGATTTTTCTTGGAAATTAAATAGTCACAGATAGTTACCATATGTAGTGGCAATATCTAAATACTATTTTCTTTCATTGTAGCCTGCGCAGAAATTTAAAGATATCCTCTCATAGACTTTTCTGGTTATATATGAAGCCAATATCGCTTTTCCACATTGAAAATTCTAGACATATAAATATTTAATATTATGAAGAGGTGAGGCTGCTAGGACTGTACAATATGAAGTTTTAATAGCTTTATTCATATCCTTCTTTGTGACTACAAAGTGTATTCTTGTTTACCAAGTTGCATCAATCATAGCTGGAGTTCTCTTGGGATAAACAAATGGATTTAAAAAGAAGGAGAAGGAGAAGGGAGTATGTATTGTATTTGCAGAGTTTTCATCCACAGTCAAATTCCATTTTCTACCTTTTAGACTTAAACTGTGTTCAAAATATTTTACCCTTTATTTACCTTCACTAGAAAATGCTGGACATATATTTCAACAGATTAGCGTAATAGCCAGCTTCTTTGAAGGAGTACAGGCTATATTTTTTATTTTTGTTAGGCATATTGTAATTTTATATCTAGTAAACACCTTCTGGAATGTTAATCACAGCTCTTAGTGTCTGAAATAGTCACATGTTTAAATGTTATTAATATATTCCACTTTTCCTGAAAATTGAGTGTAGAGTTTTGGGGAAGAATATGCATCAAATCCTTGTCTCTTGCAAGCACGCTCTGAAAAGTGTAAGAACTTTTAAGACCTGTATCTCAATGTAGTATGTTCTAGCAAAATAACTGAATTGTATTTGAAAAAAACCAGGCTAAATCACTTGATTTCCTACTTCTGATTTACCACAGCAAAGAAAAACAAAACACAACACAAAACCGAGTTGTTTTGCTTGCTTCATTTAGGATTATTTTATCTCTGCTGTTTTGATTTGGTGTTCCCGAGGTTTGTGAGTCATAACCTCAGTAGGAAATGCAGACATACAACACTACAAGTCTTAAATCATACAGTAATGTAATAAAGCTTATTTAAAGAAAAAAAGAAGCCAGTAACACCACAATGGAATTAAACTACAAAACTCAAGTTACATGTGAATTGTTCGTCAGTGAAACCTTCTAATGCTGACTTTCTGTTCCACTATTTTTGTGTAGTTCTTTTGATAGCAAATTTGTTTATCAGCAAAGAGGACTTGGGCCAATTGAACAGAACACAATTCTTGTCCTGAATCCAAGTAATGCAAAACTGCTTCATTCCACAGGAAAAAGTTTGTGAGTAATTTTTGCTTTTATTGATAGAACTAATGTTTCTGTATATTTGTCTATGTTTAGCTTATATTCAGGGCTGAACTGTAGCAGTTGTTATGTCACACCAAGCCAAGAAAGGGAATCAGGAAAAGAAAAGGAGACGTTCTCATTGAAATGAGAACGGATTTAATGAAATTGCAAAACTGATATTAATACTAATGCAAATATACAGTATACAAAGTTGTACTCAGCCCAGTAAATGTACAGCAGTCACAGTAAATGGGGAAGCAGAATCGTAAGCAAGCCCCTCCAGGGACAGCAACCCTTGAGATGAAGGCAAGGAGGAAGAGGAGCCCTTGTCCTCAGCAAGCTTCTCCCAGCTGCCCTGGCTTTCGCCCCTCCCAGCTTAAGCTCCTGCCTGAGTTGAAACTGCTGATGGCCTGCATAGCACGACTGGCTTGTGATTCCATCCCAGCAAAAACAGGACAGCATTTTACTTTAGAAAGTCCCCAAATCTATTTTCACCCGTGTTTTGTATTGCGTTGTGTGATTCTAGCCTCTGAGTTTATTTAAATTAATAAATAAATTATTATTAAAAAGTCAACAACTAATAAAAGTAATTTGCTATCTTTACCACCTCTGCTTTCTAACAATTCATACAATTTCACCTACTAGTCAGGTTAACAGAAATGCAGAGCTTATGAGTAAAGTTACCAAATATTAGGCCAAGTGCACTACTAGAGATCAGCTGAATTTCAGAGCTGAGACACTTATCAAGAAAATTCTATTCAGGAAGCTATCTTTTGTGCATCTGCTGTAGAGCATTTGTTGATCTGTTTAGGTAAAAACTGAAATCTTCACATTTACATAAATCTTTCTGAAAGTTATTTTAAATTGATTCTTCTATATTTGTGCTTGCAGATTTTATTTACCACACGGTTTGAGTATTGATAAGAATGGTAACTACTGGGTCACTGATGTAGCTCTCCATCAGGTATGTTTTTGAAGCATTAACACCAGAACTTAATATTTTGGCAAACAAAAATTTTGGTTTCCTAGAGGTTTGTCATAAATTATTTATGTAAGCCTGTTAAAATAAATATTAGGAATATGCCTACAGAAATTGACACCTGTGACCTTCATGGAATGTAGTTCAGTTGAATAATTTGGTACGTGGCCGTAGTATTCAGAAATTATAGTATCTGTTTTAAAGCAATGACTCTTTTGAAAAAGAACAGATTTTTCTGCTACATCTTTGCTTATCAATTCTCCGTTGTACTTAAATCCAGACTGTGAAGCTAATTTATTTGTTGTAATAACAAGAAATGTATATTTTAGGCAGAAATTGCCTAGAATCAGCAGAATCATAGTCAATATGTAAAGATTATGTTTGATGTATGAATTTATTTTAAACACAGTAATAGATATTTTTCCAAAGGTACTCATCCCTCTTATTCTTCACCTTCCGTAACTGAAACCTCTTCTCTTTTCCCATTGACTAAAATAAAAGGTTTTCAAACTGGGAGCAGATAACAAAGAACCGTTACTCATCTTAGGAGAGGCTTTACAACCAGGCAGTGACAAAAATCATTTCTGTCAACCGACTGATGTGGCTGTGGATCCTATCACTGGCAGCATTTATGTCTCTGATGGCTACTGTAACAGTCGAATCATCCAGTTCTCTCCAAATGGATTGTACGTGATGCAGTGGGGAGAAGGTACAGGTCAGAGATCTTGATAATTTACCCATACTACTGTTTTCATGAACTCATCATAAACCATTAGATTGCTGAAGTTACTGTTCGTTTTATTTATAGGTATCTGTTACTGAAAAGCCTTCTCCACTCTAGCTGAATTCCAGCTTTGTGATTCCTTTCCAATTCTATCTCTTGTATATATACAGCTACTTGTAGTAGTTAATATTAATTAAAAATTAAAATGAGAATTTTTTAGCATGCTTTCAGTATAAGTATTGGTGCAACATAGTAGGATGGCTGCTAAAACTGAAGTGTTGGAATGGAAAGATACAGACTCTCTAGGAAGGACAGGCAGGGGAGATGAGGAGGGGTTATTGCCCTCTGTGTCAGTGACCAGCTGGAGTCCATGATGCTCTGCCTGGAGATGAATGAGCTGACCAAGAACTTACGGGAGAGATGGGAAAGCAGACATTATAATGAGGGTCTGGTACAGGTCACCTGACCAGGAAGACTGAGGGGATGAAGCTGCTATAAATAGATAGGAGCTGCCTCACATTAGCAAGCCCTGGTCCACATGAGGGACTTCAACCACCCCAATATCTGTTGGAGGGACAGCACAGCAGGACATGAGCAGTCCAGGAGGTTCCTGGACTACATTGATGATGACTTCCTCCTCCAAGTGATATAGGACCCAGCAAGGAAAGGTACCCTGCTGGACCTTTTTCTCACCAACAAGGAGGGGCTGGTGGGCAACATGAAACTCAAGTGCAGACTTGGCTGCAATGACAATGAAATGGACAAAGTCAAGATCTTTAGGACAACAAGGAGGATACACAGCAAGCAACTGAACTTCAGGAGAGCAGACTCGTCAAGATTCTGCTTAGTAAAATATCATGGGGTAAAGACCTGGAAGGAAGAGGGTCCCAAGAAAGCTGGTCAATATTCAAGCATCACCTCCTCTAAGCCCAGGAGTAATGCATCCCAACAAAGAGAAAGGTGGGCAAGGGTGCCTGGAGGCCTGCATGGATGAACAAGTTGCTCCTAGAGACTATTATTTGCAAAAAGAAAGCCTACAGAGGGTGGAAACACGGAGAGGTAACCTGAGAAGAATACAAAGATGGTGTCCAAGCAGCCCGGGATCAAGTCAGGAAAACTAAGGCCCAGACAGAATTAAACCTGGCTGGGGACTGCAAGGGTAACAAGAAAAACTGTTACAAGTACGTCAGTGACAAATTGAAGAACAGGAAGAATATAGGCCCTCAGCAGAAGGGAACAGGCGACTTGGTCACAAAGGATATGGAGAAGGCTAAGGTACTCAGTGACTTTTTTGCCTTGATCTTCAATGGCAAGGGCTCTAACCACACCATTCAAGTTGCAGAAGGCAAAGGCAGGGACTGAGAGGATGAAGATCCACCCACTGTTAGAGAAGACCAGGTTCATAACCATCGAATGAACCTGGAAGTGCACAAATCCATGGAGCTGATGATATTGATCCATGGGTCCTGAGGGACCTAGCAGATGAAGTTGTAAAGCCACTTTCCATCATATTTGAAAAATCATGATGGTCTGATGAAGCTTGCACTGACTGGAAAAGGGGAACCATTACCCCCATTTTCAAAAAGAGAGATAATGAAGATCCGTAGATCTACAGTTTGGGTCAGTGCCAAGCAAAAATACAGACTGGGCGTCAGACTGTGAGCAGCCCTGCAGAGAAGGCTGGTTTTGAATGAAAAACTGAACATGAGCATGTAATGTGCACTTGCAGCCCAGAAAGCCAGTCACATTGTGGGCTGCATGGCTAGCAGGTCAAGAGAGGTGACTTTGCCCCTCTGCTCTGCTCTCATGAGATCCCACCTGGAGTCCTGTGTTCAGCTCTGGGACCCCCAACTTAAGAATCACAGAATCACAGGATGTCAGCGGTTGGAAGGGACCTCGAAAGATCATGTAGTCCAACCTTCCTGCCAAAGCAGGATCACCTACATTAGGTCACACAGGAATGTGTCCAGGCTGGTTTTGAACGTCTCCAGAGAAGGAGCCTCCACAACCTCCCTGAGCAGCCTGTGCCAGTGCTCTTTCACCCTCACCCTTTTTCCTCATGTTTTTGTGGAACTTCCTCTGCTTCAGCTTGCACCCGTTGCCCCTTGTCCTATCATTGGACATCACTGAGCAGAGCCTGGCTCCAGCCTCCTGACACCCTTTACGTATTTGTGAACATTAATATGATCACCCCTCAGTTTCCTTTTCTCTAAGCTGAAGAGACCCAGCTCCTTCAGCCTTTCCTCATAAGGGAGATGTTCCACTCCCTTCATCATCTCTGTGGCTCTGCACTGGACTCTCTCAAGCAGTTCCCTGTCTCTCTTGAGCTGAGGGGCCCAGAACTGGACACAATATTCCAGATGTGGCCTCACCAGGGCAGAGTAGAGGGGCAGGAGGACCTCTCTTGACCTA